GGAAGGAAGGAAGGAAGGAAGGAAGAAAGGAAGGAAGGAAGGAAGAAAGGAGCCCACAGTTGAAACCAACTTGGGAGCCGGGCGCCCGTGGCTCACGCCTGTAAGCCTAGCTACTCAGGAGGCTGAGATCTGAGGATCACGGTTCAAAGCCAGCCCGGGCAGGAAAGTCCATGAGACTCTTATCTCCAATAAACCACTAGAAAACCAGAAGTGGTGCTGTGGCTCAAGTGGTAGAGCACTCAAAGAGTGCAGGGACAGTGCCCACGCCCAGAGTTCAAGCCCCACGACTAACAAAAGAAAAAAGAAACCAACTTAGGAATCAGCTGGAGCAGATAGGCATCAGAAGCAATAGCTGGGGCTTGGCTTCAGTTGCATTGTATCAAACTTTGTGTGTGTGTGTGTGTGTATGTGTGTGTGTGTGTCTGTGCCAGGGCTTGAACTCATGACTTCGTATTCTTATTTGTCTTGCTTGTTTATGATTGACTATAGCTTAAGCCACACTCCTAGTCTAGTATTTTGCTAGTTAATTGGAGATGAGTCTCCTAGTCTTTTCTGCCCAGGCTGACTTTAAATGGAGAATCTCCAGGTCTCAGCCTCCTATATATCTGGTATGACAGACTTTAGCCACCAGCTGCTAGCCCAGGCAGTTAACTGGCTTTTTTTTTTTTTTTGTCCGTCATAGAGTTTGAACTCTGGGTCTGGGCGCTGTCCCTGCATTCTTCAGCTCAAGGCAAGCGCTCTACCACTTGAGCCACAGCACCACTTCCGGTTTTCTAGTGGTTTATTGGAGATAAGAGTCTCATGAACTTTTCTGCCCGGGCTGGCTTTGAATCATGATCCTCAGATCGCAGCCTCCTGAGTAGCTAAGATTACAGGTGTGAGCCACTGATGCCTGGCTTTAACTGGCTTTTTATGGTTGCCTTTTTTTGTGCAGGCATCTTAAAGGTTCTGTTTGTCTCAGAGAGAGCCAACAATCCCATCATAGTACTGTGAACACAGTGTGCTTTGTGAAAGCGGTTCTATGTACTTCACCTGTTAAAACAATGTGGCAGTATGTTGAGAGTACTTTGAGAGATGATATTAAAGAACAGCATACTACTTGAACAAGATTACTGCAAAACTTTTCTCAATCAGGGTCTGGGGAGATAAATCAAGCAGCCAGTCAGACAAGGGTTGAATTTAATGATAATCTTAGAAACCATGAAACCAGGGTGGCACATGTATGCTAGCTTTAGCAAAGGGAAGAATGAAGAACGAGTCTCATTTTTCTTTTATCTTTTTTCTCTCCTCTGCCCCTTGAGCCATAGCTCCATTTCATGCTTTTTGCTGATTAATTGGAGGTAAAGGTCTCAGATTTGTCCACTCAAACTGGCCTTGTACCAGCCTTGATTCTCTGACCTCAGTCTCCTGGGTAGCTAGGATAACAGTCATGAGCTACCAGTGCCCACTGAATCTAATTGTCCTTACCTGTCTGTCCTCAGTCAACAGTGTCACTAAAGGAGGAAGATAGGAAATGGCAGTTCCAGAGACACTATGTAACATTTAGCATTTACTGTGTTTCTCTTACATGCTGGTCCCTTAACATATGTTATCTCTAATCTCCTTTACAGCTTCTGAAGTAGGTGTAGTAGTCCCTCAGTATCCACAGTGAAGTGGTTCCAGGACTCCAACAGATATGAAAATCCGCAGATGCTCAAGACACACTCATGTAAAATGGAGTGTTATCTACATGTGACCTATGAACACCATAAAAAATAAGTAATCTCTGGATTACTTATAATAGTGAATAGAACATATATGCCATGCAAATAGTTGTTATACCACATATTTGGAGGATAATGACAAGAACAAAATCTACATAGTATGTACAGGTGCAATTTTCCAGATTTTTTTTGTAGGCCTGGGCACTGTCCCTGAGCTCTTCAGCTCAAGGCAGGCACTCTACTACTTGAGCCACAGAGCCACTTCTGGTTTTCTAATTGTTTATTGGAGATAAGAGTCTCATGGACTTTCCTGCCTGGGCTGGCTTTGAACCCTGATCCTCAGATCTCAGCCTCCAGAGTAGCTAGGATTACAGGCATGAGCCATCGGAGCCCCGGCCTTCCAGGTATTTTTGATCTGCAACTGTCTGATATAGAGGCCTCTCTGTAATAGGTTTATATTATAGATTAGAAAATAAGCATAAATTGGATAAGTTGCTTGCTAAAGGTAACACAGTGTATTAAGTAGCAAAGTCAGGATTTGAACTTGTTCATCTGGCAGTATGACTTAGGCTTCTTCTATGCTGCATATCTTTTTGCCTCTTCTAGGTCAGCAACAGTATCTCAGGCCTCTGAGAAGCAGATATTGCTCAAGAATACTGACTAATCATGTGTGGGCAGGGGATTCCATGGTTTGTTTGCCTATCAATTCATTCTACAAATGCATGCTTTATTTACAGCCAGAAATTAGGGAGAGGAGTGCAAGGCAGGTAGGTGGAGTAGGAAGGGGCATGCTTATGGAGAAGGAATGTGGGAAGGTTAGGAGGGGTGAGGCTAGAGAAAATAAAGAAAAAAAGAGCCATCATAAGCTCAAATACAGGGTAGAGGCTGATTTGTGTGTCTAATTTTGGTTGTGGTCTGAATGGTCTCTCTGGAGCAACTAACAAGCATGTTCCAACCCAGTCATGATATTCAGGAAATGAGTCCCTTCACCAATAATTCACACACACACACACACACACACACACACACACGCACTACAGATAGATTTTTTTTTTTTGGGTGCGGTCGTGGGGCCTGAACTCTGGGCCTGGGCACTGTCCCTCAGCTCTTCAGCAAGGCTAGTGCCCTACCACTTGAGCCACAGCGCCACTTCCGGCTTTTTTCTTTTTGCTTATGTGGTGCCGGAGAATCGAACCCAGGGCCTCAGGCATGCATGGCAAGCACGCTACCACTGAGCCACCTTCCCAGCCACTACAGATAGATTTTTAATGAAGCACATCAGAATATATGTTACCATACTATGAGTTGTCTTATGAAATGGTGTTTCTAATGCTCATTGAATGACTGGAAGTTCCCTTCAAAGGAGCCAGAACCTAATTTGGGTGCATATTGTGAGAAGTTTGATGAAAAGAGAAAAGAAAAACAATCTCAGTTTATGGTCATAAGATTTTAAATTATGTAATTAAAAGGAAGGAAGTGCTATGGAATATTTGCCCATATACATTGCCTTAATTTTCTTCTAGTGGGGAACATAACTAATATCAGATTTGAAAAATTAAAAAAAAAACAAGCCTGATTTGCATTGACACTTAATCCCACAGGGAATGTGAACTAAGATATGGAAAGGCAGAGCTCAAAGGAATGTGTTGCCATGATACATCCATTGCAGGACTTCTCAGACTTCACCTGCACCTGAGCTATAGACAAAGTATGTTTGAGTGCTGTGGAGGCTTAATTGTGATTGCTCACACTCAGAGGGATGGCAGCTGGGTTGATCATATGATCCTAATGGCATCTGATACAGACAGGCTTGGGAATCCAGAGAGCTGATAGGGCTGAGAGATGTTACATTTCCCCATACCAACTGTGTGTAGTACCAACGACCTCCAGAATCCAAAGGGGTTGCATTGGAACCATAATACTATTCATATACTTCAGAAGGAATAAACCAATGATTCTAATCAGCTTGAGTGCTCAGGAATAATAGAAGCTTTATAAAAACGTATTTTCTTCTACACATTTATTATAAAACATCTCTCAAGACAATTAGGTCATGATTTTTAACTTCTCTTAACTTTTTGATTGAAAGGTGCCATAAAACATCTAATGTGATTCTCATTATGTAGCTTTTTGTTTCATATCGTATGAACAAACACTATAAAGGAAAAACAGTTTTTGATTATGTATGTAGTCCTTCATTAAAACTATTAACAAACTTCCTTGGGAAGAACTTTGGCATGTCTTCTATAGTAATTCTTAGTACCTTCACCTTAGGGAAACTTCTCAGCTCAGGAAAACCTATGCCCTCTCTACTAGTAGTGTGGCAGGTAAGGAGAGGCCACCTGCAGTCTTTTCTATTATTTGGAAAATAAATGTTATAATAGTGGAAACAGATTTACAGCTTTGTAATGTTCACCTTGTACTATAATATTATGGATATCTATTGGTTTTCCTACTCTGGTCTCAGTAGGATGGTATCACGCAGAGGGATGGTGGCAGAAGGAAACAATCTGGTTGGTGGATAGGAATCCTGCCTTGGAGTTCCCTCCACTCCCAGCTATCATAAGCTTATCTGTAATAAGAATTTACAAGCTTTTGGGGGGAAATTTTTACTTCATTGTAAAGGAATTTTTGTCATCTGAAGAGAGGTGACATAAATTCAATGCATCAATAAATACTTGCCTTAATGTCAAATATTTGTTTATGACACGGAAAAATGATTCTATGTTCTTGGGAATGGTTATCCCTTTCAAGCTCCTTTTCTATGTGCGTTTGTTTTGTTCTGAAAGCCTTGGAGATGCAGAGAAGAGTGATTGGAACAAGCTGGCTACTGAATGGGACTTGGGAGGACTAGGACTTGACTTTATGCCTATAAGCTCTAAAATCCTGAGTTATGATTGATTTTAATGCAAATAGGGTTGGGGAGGCCCATGGAAGATATATTTCAGTATGAGCATCCATATCTGGGAGCTAGTGTTGCTTCAGCATCTTACCACGTGTACATGTGGGTGGCGGTTGGTCTGGTTCCTCATGTCCTTTGGCACCACCCTTCGCCTCTGTCTTTGCATAACTATATTAATAGAAGGAAGCACTTCCTATACTGGCGCTCAGCCCCAAGGAGAGGTTGGCAGAGGCTTGGCAGGTGGGAATGTAGCATGGAGAGGGGAGGGGGGAGAGGGTGGAGGCATCGTCGAGTGGCGTCTGGAATAACCAATGGTAGTTGAAATCAGGGGCGGCAAGGGCGGGGGCGCTGAGGCTGTTGAGCCAATGGAGAACGAGCAACTACTGGAGCGACCTGGTGACGTGAGGAGCGTTCCATTCGGCCAGCGGTGGGCGGTTGCCACAGCTGGTTTAGGGCCCTGACCGTTGGGGCCCCTTGTCAGGAGGAGGCAGCCTCCCTGCCTGGGAGGAGAAGTCCACTGCCACCTCTGGCAGTTGCTGCGGTCCCCTTGGACAATCTACTTCCTGCCTTCAGTTGCGGCCGAGTTCGAGCTTCCTCATTCAGGTAACAAGGGGTGGGGGCGGGGGTCTCCGGGGCTGGACTGCGCGGTGGGCTGTATCCTCTTCAGCTGTGTGGGGAATCGGACACGTTGGCACCGCCCTTCTTAACTCGCCAGCGGCAGAGCCCCGGGCTCGGGGTGACTACACGTGGCGAGGCGGGTGTGAGTGTGTAGAGGGTGTGGAAATGTGAGCTTATGGATGTGGCATGTGTCCCAACCTGCCTGGGGCGGTGGTCTGCTGCGTGGCGGAGGCAGGGCGGGCCTCTGGAGGGCCGCACCCGCGGGCTGGGCCAGACTCGGCCTCTGGTACTCGGCTGGAGGGTTGGTGGAGGCTTCCTATCGATTTTAATTTTTGTTCTTTCAGGCCAGCTTCCCCTTCCGACCTCTCTTCTCCCACTTGGGTCAGTTCCTGAGGAGGGGATTGTTTTCCTGGTTAGTTTTACACAAAGGAAGTGTTCTCTGTACCTCTGCTGTCTCCTCCCCTTTCTCCAGCCTCACACCTTCTATTTTCCTTTCTCAGTTGTCAGTACCTTTTTGGACCTTTGCCCTCTTCAGCCCAGGATGATCTTGAGTTGGTTGTTTCTCTCTTGTCAGTCAGGCTGCAGGCTTCCGCCTCGTTTTGCCAGCGTGGGGCATGTGGTGTCAGTAAATAGAGGCCACAGCCCCATACCTGAGAGCAGGAGAAGGATGGCCGTGCTTGAGAAAGGGTAGGCCTGGGAATTCAGAATAGTAGTTAAGAAATGTCCCAGAAGGTGCCCTTATGACTTGTCTTACCTGCTGTCTCTTCTCCCATCATCAATTGCCAACCATTCCAGTATCTTTCTTGCAAAAATCAACCTTTCACCTACTTTGTCCCTTAGGTGTTTTGTTCAAGGTTGGTGCTCTATTACTTGAGCCAGCTCCACATTCAGCTTTTTACTGGTTAATTGAAGGTAAGAGTCTCAGGGACTTGCCTGTTCCCACTGCCTTGAACTGCAATCCTTAGATCTTAGCCTCCTGAGTAGCTATGATTACAAGCATGAGCCACCAGTGCCTAGCCAAAAGGTGACTTGTTCCTTGATGTGATTCATATTTGAGTGGCTAATAGAAGAAAGAAGGTATAGAATGGAAGAGGGGAAGGAAGGACAGAAACCTTATTTTTATAGCCCTCTTAATGAAGATTAAAGAACATTGTGGTATAATGGAAAGTGTCCTGGGTTGGATGGAAATCAGTGGACATGTTTTCTTGTCTCAGCTTTGCTGTTATATGACCCTGAATAAGTTATTTCCTTTCTCTTTACTAATTTACAGAATAAACTACTTGTGTTAGTTTAAAATCTGCTCTATTCTCAAGGTTCTAGGATTATGAAATCATCAGTATTAGTTTGGAAACAGGATTTATTTCAGAAATACTGGCCCCCTTCCCTTTTTTGCAGAATTTTTCATTGTTTCTCTGTACAGTACAAACAGATTAGAAATGAAAATTTCCAATCCCTACTTTTCATTTTTCTGCTTCTGGGAAATGAGAATTCAACTGCAATTTCTTATTCTTGCCTCATATTTTTTTTCTTTTCCTTAGGTCTAGAAATTCGACTTTTGATGATGGTTGACCCTGTAGCAGCAATAGATAACGTGGTATCAGAGCTGGGCTCAGCCTCCATTTCTGCCTTCCTGTAGTCACAAAGCTCATTTTGGAACAAGACTCCAATCATGTCTGTGATGGTGGTGAGAAAGAAGGTGACACGGAAATGGGAGAAACTTCCTGGCAGAAACACCTTTTGCTGTGATGGTCGGGTCATGATGGCCCGGCAAAAGGGCATCTTCTACTTGACCCTCTTCCTCATTCTGGGGACATGTACACTCTTCTTCGCTTTTGAGTGAGTTTCCAATGAGTTGTTTGATTATGGTTACTTTTTTGTGGTATATGGGGATTGAACCCAGGACTTTAGGAATTCTGGAGTAATACTAGAATACTAGAGTAATGCCCCAGTCTTTCTGTTTGTGTTTTGTTTTTGAGACTGGCCTTGATCTTTTGATCCTCCTGCCTCTGCCTCTAGAGTAGTTGGGATTATAGGCATGCACTAGCAAGTCCAGCCCTGATGATTTGGATCCAATGGAAGAATCTTCTTTCCTGGGAGTTTCCTGAAATGTCTTTGGGTCATGCCAACTAAATTCATTACTTTATGGTTATAGTAGCATATATACTTGCTAAAAAGACCAAGACTTTCAATACCAATTTTATAGTACCAATTTGGGGCTATCCCTGACAAATTTGGGAAATGTAAAAGGTGTTTGTTTTAAATATGTGTTTCCTTCTTTCAGTAACAGGAGCTTAGTACAATTTTTTTCTTCTTTCTTTACCTCTCCCAAATCTAGAAGGACCCTTCATTGTTAAAATAACACTCAACGATATTCACTCTGTTATTTTGGGTTTTATTTCCCTCTCTTACCTAGCTGTTAAATTAAAAAGCCAACTGAAATGGGAACTTGCAAATTGGTTCCAGCCTTAGCTGTACCACAGACTAATTGTGGGCATAGCACACAGATGCTTTTTTTTTTTAAAGGGAGTTTCTTTTTCTTCCACTCAAAATAATTCAATGTAGACAACTCTCTATTGTGTGTATGTCTGATGCTAGCCTTGGAGTTTTTTTCTGTGATGCAATCTTGAGTGTTAGAGCCACTGTTTGAAGTGTGTGTAGGTCACTATTCTAGGGAGGTGGCCAGTTGGATTCTAGGACACTGTGGCTTGATTACTGAGTGTGCTGAGAATGCTCTACACTCTAGGGATGGGAGCAGTGCTAATTGTTTTGGGATTACTATAGGGAGGGCCTTGAGGAACTAAGAGATGTGTGTGTATGTGTGTGTGTGTGTGTGTGTGTGTGTGTGTGTGTGTGTGTGTGTAGACTGAGAATCACACCTGATATGGTGTGCAGTGGTTCATGTATATGAGTGTCCTGGAAATGGAACTCCCATGCTGGGGTGTGGTCAGGGGAGATAAAAGGGCCCCCTTGGCCCTCCTATTCAAAGTGAGCTTTGGTCAACTGGGATTCATTTTGCCCCTTCTATAAGGGTTATGGATCTTTTCAGTACATTCAGAATGATTTTTGGACTGATTTTCCAAACTTTTTTTTTATGGTTGCAGCTGGTTTGAGTAACATCATGGGCAAGAGAGGGTTTCTTATTTATAACAGGCCTACCAAAGTAGGGTCAGAGTAGCTCTTTGTTAAAGGTTCTTTTGCTGTAGCTACTGGCAGATTATTGAAGGTTTGGTAGCTGCTCTACAGCCTGAGTTTGTGTGTGTGTGTGTGTGTGTGTGTGTATATGTGTGTGTTGCTTCTGTTCATGGACCAGGGGCTTTTGTGTGGTATGAGTGAGCATATGCAGGCAGACATATGCATAACATCAGACAGTTCATTTTCTTTCCCACCTCTGACCCCAAGGTTTCTTTGCTTCATTCTTGTCTTGCTTCTTGTTAGAAATGCAAAGCTGAGCTTTGCTGTCATTCTTCTCTTTTGCTGTTTTTGTCACTCACAGCTTTATGGTTGAATTTTTATGATTAGAATCATTCATGATAGAGATATGACTTGTGTCCAGGCTCTGAGTGAGTTGGTAGCTCTGGTACTAAGAAATCTAGTTTCAATGGCCAGTGGAATTTGGGATTTGGAGCTATTGCTGTGACAATAACTTTTTAAAAATATTGTGGAGCCAGCGAGAGTCTCTGACTTGGATCTGTTCCACCAAAGCCCCTGAAGGCTTCTGAAGAAAACTACCCATGGGGGTAAAGCTTGTAATTAGCCAAGTTACTATCTGACAGAGGCAGGTTGAGTTTTCTTCCAATTTTTCTTGGACTTTGCCTCTAGGTACAAAAAGTGAGGCTGTTTATAAAACTGTCCAAGACAGTTCTAGCTGTCTGAATGATTTGAAAGTAGGGCTGGGGGGAGGGGAGACAGAAGTAAATAAATGTGTTAGTTTATGAGTGGAATAGAAAAGTATAAATCTGATCAAAGAAGGAAGGACCCTGGGCTGGGAAGGTGGCTCAGTGGTAGAGTGCTTGCCTCGCATGCATGAGGCCCTCCGTTTGATGCCTCAGCACCACATAAGCAGAAAAAGCCGGAAGTGGCGCTGTAGCTCAAGTGGTAGAGGACTAGCCTTGAGCTGAAGAGCTGAGGGACAGCGCCCAGGCCCAGACTTCAGGCCCCACAACTGGCAAAAAAATAAAAAGAAGGAAGGACCCTGATGATGAATCTCTTTTTACTGAAAATGATGCAGTTTGTATTTGTAAATGTACAAGTATATTCATGTGGATATATGTGTGTACAGGTAAGGACATCTGACTAATGAATGGCTGTCTGTTTCCATTCTTAAATTGTCCAGGAGCACAGAATCCACATCCTCTGGCTGTTGCATTTTTTTGTGTGCAGGTCTTGGAGCTTGAACTTAGGGTCTGGGTTTTATTCCTGAGCTTCCTTGAGTCAAAGCTAGCACTCTACCATTTGAGCCACAGCTTCACTTCCAGTTCTTTTGGTAGTATAGTAGAGATAAAGTCTTACAGACTTTCCTGCCTGAGCTGGCTTTAAGCCATGATCCTCAGATCTCAGTCTCTTGAGTAGATAAGATTACAGGCATGAGCTTTTGGTGCCCGGCTTGGCTGTTACATTTTTGCCTGTAAGAAAATAGTTCAAATTTTGAAGCACATCTGGATTTTCATTTAGCAACAATGCCCTGCTTGCAGCAGGTGCTTAGATACAAGTGTGAGCTGATTTATGGCTGCCTGTGACAAGGCTCTGGGTCAGCCAGATGGCTTGAGAAGTCTGCTCAGGTATGTGTGTACCCTTAATGAAAAACATGCAGTATTACTGGTGCCAGTGGACAGCCTTGTACTTTTAGATTTTGTCTTTATAAATCAAGACTTTTCAAAAGAGAGGTATGTAATTTTCAGTGGGCAGACTGTATGTTGAATACATAAAACAAAACAATAAAAGGTTTTCCACTGGGAGCAGTTAGTTCCAAATTGCTCCAAGTGTTTCCGAAGAAGCTGAGTGGCCATCCCTCAGGACTGTTATCACAAATTGGAAATTTCACTATCTGGTAACCAAACCTCTCACAACTCTAGGAATCTGAAAGTCTCTAGAACTATATCTAACTGGAAGAGTGAAATACACATAAAGGAGAGTATGGATTACTGTAGGTAACTGTATGTAAATATAATTTTCCTCATGGTAAATGTATTTAAGTTTAAAAATGGAGTGAAAATTATACAATGCTTAAAAATAAGAATTTTAATGGAGTGTTAATGTGTATGCTGATTTCAGCTTTAAGCACAGGAACCATTTGTAGGCCTTTCTGCTCAAATCTTATCTAGCTTGTGTGGTGAACACATAGCCACCAGTTTGGTCTAGAGTTTCAGGACATTATAGCAGAATGACACTGACAACCTGTGAGCTGTCCAGATACTGAAATACTATTGTATTTGGTCAAACATTTCCTGGCAAAGTATAGTCCTCTTGAAAGGATCAAGCATGCTGTCTTCTGGAACTGGCTTCCTAGCTTGCTATATTTTGTGACCAAACTTTGAGTTGAGTCAAGGTCTTCAGACTTTTCTTGTTGCTCTTTTAAAAAATTAAAATTGTTATTAAAAGGGTGATATACATAGGGTTTACTGTTACCTAAGTCAAGAGTATATCCCCCCTCCCTTTTTTTTTGTCGGTCGTGGGGCTTGAACTCTGGGCCTGGGCGCTGTCCCTCAGCTCTTCAGCTCGAAGTGAGTGTTCTACCACTTAAGCCATAGTGCCACTTACGGTTTTCGAGTGGTTTATTGGAGATAAGAGTCTCATGGACTTTCCTGCTCCAGCTGGCTTTGAACCAGGATCCTCAGATTTCAGCCTCCTGAGTAGCTAGGATTACAGGCATGAGCCACCGATGCCCAGCAGGAGTATATTTCTTTTTGGACAAATCACCCCTTCCATTTCTTTCTCCCAATTTTTCCCTCCCATCCCCACCCACAAGTTGTATAGTTCATTTTCAACATAGTAGCTAATGAGTACCACGGTGCTGCATTTGTTTACCCTTTGTCACTCATTCCCATTTCTTAGAGTTCATTTCGATAAATATTATTTTATATGATCAGATACACATAGGCATTGTGCCTTTGTGTTCCTCTCCTAAGAATTTCTTGTGGCTCCTAATAGAAGCAGCCTGCTTCTGTGATCAACATTTATATTCTCACTATACCATATGTGGAAGAAATCATACCAAGGCACTATTTAGACCAATTTTCCCCATGGGTGCTTTTCGTGCATACTGGCAGAAGAGTCATTGAATTAGATGAACTGAATAAGGCTTTATAGCACTGCTTAGTAATTGTCCCACTTCTAACCCATCCAAATTTTGTCCCTTTTACGTTCCTTTAATTGCACATAACGTTCATTGCAACAAATAATCTATAACATTTCTTATATTTCTGAATTCTGTGGTGATTATACTTTTTATTTGTTCCCCACAACTAGAGATAAGCTCTTTCAGGGATTACCACCTATGTTTATAGTCTCTGTCAGGCCCTCTTCCAGGTTTTACATAAAGTAAGTAGAAAAAGAAATGTTGTTGACAGAATACATCCTAGAAGCACTTGGAATTTAACAGTTTTGCCAGGTTCTGGTGACCTGCACTATAATCCTACTAACCCAGGAAGCTGAGATGTAAAGATTGTGGTTCAAATCCAGAAGTGCAGCTGTGGCCCAAGAAGTAGAACTCTAGACTTGAGCAAAAACACTCAGGGACGGTGACTAGGCCCTGCATTCAAGCCCCAGGACCAACACACACACACACACACACACACACACACACACACACACACACACACACACACACACACACACAA